AAAAAAAAAAAAAAAAAAAAAATTCAAACCTTTCAAAAATATGAAGGGAATATTTGTATTAGAAATCACAAAATTCATTAAAAACTCAGAAGCCTTCATAATATTTTAAATTACTAAAACTCAGCACATCTGTAAATTCTGAATACTTGTTGAATGAATTTCTCATTTACATATTTGATATGTAAAGATGGTGGACATCACTGCATGTATATAAAGGAAAATAGGCTGGGTGCGGTGGCTCAAACCTGTAATCCCAGCACTTTGGGAGGCCAAGGTGGGTGGATCACGAGGTCAGGAGTTCAAGACCAGCCTGACCAACATGGTGAAACCCCATCTCTAATAAAAATACAAAAATTAGCTGGGCATTGTGGTACACACCTGTAGTCCTATCTACTCAGGAGGCTGAGGCAGGAGAATCACTTGAACCCGGAAAGCAGAGGCTATCGTGAGCCAAGATCATGCCAATGCACTCCAGCCTGGGTGACAGAGCGGGACTCCATCTCAAAAAAAGTGTTAAGTTATACATCTTGATCAGTATTACACTTCAAAATAGTGACCTTGAGAACCTTATTCCAAAAATGGAACACATCTTTGGAGCCTGTGTAAAAGTCACATGAAAGTCAGTTCCATCATTTTATTTAAACTTAATTATTTTACCCCATTGCATGTTATTTACCTCAAGCACCTACCTATTTTTCAAGATGTAGAGTTAAGTTACTGTATTACAGTTCTTGTCTATAAGCATTAGAAACATTAGTAACTGACTCTATCTTTAAAAAGCAACTTTACTGGAAGGCTGCTGAAACTCGCAAAACTGAAAGATGACTGGAAAATCAGGCTGGAAAAAAACAGCGCCCACCGACCAGAGAAAGCAGCTCAAAGAACCATGCCAAAGAACAGTCTGATCCACACACTGACATTATTCTGGAAAGGTCTCCAAAAAACCCTACATCTTAGAGAAAACATTTGATTGGACAAGTCTGGCTGCACAACAAAACAGTAAGGGAGTAATATGCTTCAAGAGTGCATTGTGGTAATCACAACACTTTGGGAGGCTGAAGAGGGAGGATCACTTGAGGCCAGGAGTTCGAGGCTACAGTGAGCTATTATCTCACCACTGTACTCCATCCTAGCGACAGAGCAAAATATGTCTTCTGGGGGAAAAAAAAAAGACCAGGCACAGTGGCTCATGCCTGTAATACCAGCACTTTGAGAGGCTGAAGCAGGAAGATAACTTGAGCACAGGAGTTCAAGACCAGCCTGAGCAATGTGGCTAAACCCTTGTCTTTACAAAAAATAAAAAAAAATTAGCCAGGCGTGGTGGTGTGTGCCTGTGGTCCTAGTTCCTCAGGAGGCTGAGGCAGGAGGATCACTTGAGCCAAGGAGGTTGAGGCTGCAGTGAGCCGAGATCACGGTACTGCACTCCAGCCCGGATAACAGAGCAAGACCCTGTCTCCAAATTATACTTGGCCACTGAAAATAATTAAATCTAACCTTAAAAAACTAAGATTTGCCAGCAATGAAGACATTCAAACATATATCAGTTATTTCTGGTAATTCTCAATAAAGCATCCTGAAAATATTCTATTGAAGGCATCTGTGGAATAAACAAACACATACTGAAAGGGAAATACCTGCACTTTGCTGCCCCTCTCCCTCAAACACAGGGGCAATTAGAGAAATACTAATTATTTGGCAGTTGAATTTAGGTGTAAAGTATATGCCATCCTTTCTGCCACCTTTGAAGAATTACTTAAATACCTATGCACTAATTCTCTGCCCAAGTGAGCATCAAAATCCTCTGAGGGGCCTACGCATCCCTGTTTTATAAACACAAAAATAAATATCATCGGTTAAAAAAAAAAAAAATCTGAAATGTGTAAAGAGAAAAAAAAAATCAATCACAATGACTTTAGACTCACCCTTACCAGGTAATCTGAAGCCAGACCATCTGTTTATTCGAAAACTGAAAGTTCTGTTCAGTAAAAAGAAGAGGGGGACTTGACTCAGAATATGTCAATTTTTAAAATATTATAAACATGTTAAAAATACACTGGCAAGACAATAAGAACAAAGAACAACCTCACACAATATGAATGAATCTCATGTTTAACAAAAATCAGAAACAAAGTACAAAAAATGAGGAAAAATTAATCTATGCTGAATTCTAATATTAAGCCAGTGGTTACCCTTGAGGAATGGGTAGTGACTGGAAAGAAATTCAAGCAGAGGGCTAGAGCTTCTGTTTCTTGCCCTAGACGCTGGTTTAACAGGTATATTTGGTTTGTGAAACTTCATCACCTTTTATGTACACTTTTCTCCTGGTTTATTATTCTCCAACAGAAAAAATTTTTAAAGCCAACACATGTAAATTACTAAGTCTGTTTCTTCTTTCAAAAATCAAAGAAAGGTCGGGCACAGCGGCTGAGGCCTGTAATCCCAGCACTTTGGGAGGCAGAGGTGGGCGGATTACTTGAGCTCAGGAGTTCAAGACAAGCCTGGCCAACGTGGTGAAACCTCATCTCTATTAAAAATACAAAATTCAGCTGGGTACGGTGGTGCACCTGTAATCCCAGCTACTGAATCCCAGTTATTCGGGAGGCTAGGGAATCACTTGAACCTGGGAGTGGGAGGTTGCAGTGAGCCGAGATCGAGCCACTGCTGTCCAGCCTGGATGATAGAGTGAGACTCAGTCTCAAAAAAAAAAAAAAAAAAGGTAAATTAATTTCACCATTTAGCAATTTCTTAAAATTTTTTTATTGTTTTGATTTCAGATAAGGTTATTAGCTCATATATATATTAAATGTTTACAACATTAATGACTTGCCTGAAATCAGGAAGAAATGCTCACGATCAGCTAGCAAGCGTCTAGACCTAAGCCATGACTAGCAAACTATAGTGAGTGACTCTTGACGCAAAATAAACAGGACACATGGTTTCAATTACCTTCCAAAGAACTTTAAATTGTCTCAATTATGTGAGTACTGTTAAACTTCAACAAATTATTTAGATTATCTTCTTGAAAATCAATCACTGAAAAACATGTTAATAATAGGATTTAGCTTAAACATTTAGAGCAAGGGTATCCAATCATTTGGCTTCCCTGGGCCACAATGGAAGAACTGTCTTGGGCCACACATAAAATACACTAACACTAGCAATAGTTGATGAGCTTTAAAAAAAAAATTGCAAAAAAACCTCAATGTTTTAAGAAAGTTTATCGATTTGTGTTGGGCCACATTCAAAGCCATCCTGGGCCACATGTGACCCACGGATTGGATAAGCTTGATTTAGAGTAACATGAACTTGAAAAAACAAATAGGTACTTTCTCACTGTAATTTCAGTGTGACTCGGAACACCAAAAGCTAGTTTTTTTTTAAGTTTTTGTTTTCCATCAAGTTTTATCCACACAGAAGTCTCAAAAACTGTAAACCAAAATGTTCACTCAAGAATATGTTTTAATTGTGTTTTTGTATTTTCTAAATGTCTACAATAATGTTACTTTTGTCCAAAAAAAAACTTTATGGCCCACGTAGTGGCTCACACCTGTAATCCCAGCACTTTGGGAGGCCGAGGCAAGTGGATCACTTGAGGTCAGGAGTTGGAGAGCAGCCTGACAAGGTGAAACCCCCTCTGTACTAAAAATACAAAAATTAGCTGGGTGTGGTAGCGCGCGCCTGTAATCCAAGCTACTCCGAAGGGTGAGGCAGGAGAATCGCTTGAACCCAGGAAGGGTAGACTGAAGTGAGCCCAGATGGCGTCATGGCACTCCAGCCTGGGCAACAGAGCGAGACAAAGAAAGAAAAGAAAAAAAAAGACAAATGTTTATAATCAAGATTCCAAATTGTGAAGCCTAAAGTTGAATATTTTCTAAAAATTACATTACTAGGACACTATACACCTAGTTTACTTTTTCATCCAAAGAACAAGGAATTTCACATACAGCCTGCTTTAACATCACAACTCAATCATTAAACAGGTTCAGCGCCCCTTTCAGTCAAAGGAACCATCAACTTTTTTCAAGATTACTGTTATTAAAACCTCAGAAATGGGAAACCAAGACACAGCAGATGCCCTAGACATAACAAGCTAACCTTCAGTTCATCAGATTTTTAAACATGAAGGGTCCATAAACAGTCCACATAAACTCGCCTATATCTAATAAGTTTCAGCGACGTAGAAAGATTACGTTGTTTTGTAAAACTTTTTTTGCCCACCTTCCTGAATTTAGAAAACTTTCTTAAACTCAAAACACAACACCGTATCCGACTCTAAAAACGTGATATAATTTCCAAGCAGAGATAAAACAAGCTCTGGGAACACCTCATCATACATAATTCATAGAATATTCATTTATCTGACGGTATTGCAGGTGTCTGTCTAAAAACAATCATTTTTGTAGACAAATATGACAAATGTAGCAAAACATTAATTATAAAATCTAGAAAGCGTATATATGTGTATGTATCTAGCACTTTTCCAACTTTTCTGTGTGTGAAAATTTTGGATACTCAAGTGAAAACAAACGCTTTCAAAGTCAGAATACAAAGAAATATTTATTGCAACTTCAACACACCTGAAGCTTCGAGAGCTTCCATCAACTCACAAACCTACATTTCAAGCACACCATGAAAAAGCCCTTTCTAAAGACGGCAAACTTTGAGATTAATCAACTGATAAAATATAAAAGCGATACTAAAAATAATCTCTCACCCAATGCAAGTTCACCTAGAAAGTCTTTAACCAGGAGGTTTCAGGAGAATTTTGATTTAACTTTACTTAGTAAGAGCTTTTCCATTACCACTTTGCCTACATTTTTCGTAATTCCCAACAGCACACTTTCACTCAAGAAGAAAAAATTCCCCAGCAAGCAGATCCGGGCACTCCTCCCAGGTCCTAAAACCTGCAAAAATCCGAGAGTTCGTGGCGCTAGCGGCTCCAAGTGTTTCGGTTTCCCGGGCCGTCTCCGGGTTGGATTTGCACCCTGGGGTCTACATGGGTTAAAAACGCGGAAAAAGGCGACGGAGAAATACAAACTGCCAGGGTGTCGAAATGAAAGGAGCGACTGTAAGGAGAAATCCCAGGCCTCTCTACTGGGAAGATCTGGAAAGCACCCGCCGCGCAGGGGGCCAACTAACTCCTACACTGCTCGGGGTCAGCTGAGAGCCACCGCGCGCGGGCTCCGGAGCTAGGAGGGCAAGTGCGCGGGCCGGAAGCGTCGGGCGCTCACCTGGCACCTACCTGGAGCTCACCTGGCGCCCGGGCCCCGCGCCGCTGCCCCCCGCCCTGCCCGCCGCGCCCGCACCTCGCGGTCCTTGAGGCCCAGCAGGAGCACCTCCTCCATCAGGGTCAGCCGCGTTTCCTTGGAGTCGCCCTTGTCGTCGTCGTCTTGCTCGTCGCGACGGCTCTGAGCGTCGTCCTCGCCGCTGCTGGCGCCGCCGCCTGCCGCCCGCTCCTTGTCGGCAGCGTTGCGGGAGGCCTCGGTGCGTCGCTGCACCAGGCCCGAGCTGCGCTGGGTCAGCGAGGTCATGACTCTGGCCGAGGCGCCAAGCCGGCGGGCCGAGAGGGGCGCGGGACCGACCGGGTCGCCCTCCTCCTTCCCCCGCGGCCTCCGACCCGGGTTTCCGGGTTAAATTCGGACACCCGGGCGACGTCCGTCGGCAGCGGGACCGGGGCCAGTCATGAGGAGACAGGTCAGGGCGAAGAGGGCTGACTGAGCGTCGGCGGGGCAGGAAAGGGCGCCTGTCTGCCAGCGGCTGCGGCCCCCGAAACAGCCCGAGCTCCAAAGCGGAGGCGGCGACAGCGCCTTTCCAATATGGCGGCCCCGGCTGACGTCACCGGAGGATGTGGCAGAGTCGGCGCGGCAGCGGGGTGGGCAGGAGGCGCCGGAAGCGGCGGGAGGGGACCCGGCGGCCGGAGATCCGCCGCTGCTGCGGCTGCCGCCTACACCCTTGCCGGCCCTCGGTGCTTGTCTTTTCCTCAGCGTTCCTGCGCCCCCCGACCTGCAGTTTTGCTCCCGCGACTTGCCCTCCCTCCTTCCGCTCCCCGTTTCCCCCTCACTATCCGGGGCTGGAGTCTGAACCTGGCGGGTCCCCCAGCCCCACGAGTCGGAGGAGCAGAGACCACGCGAAGGTGGACCCCGCTCAGCCTTCAGCTGCCCTCCGCGCCCGAGACACCGCTGTCTTCGGAGGCGGCAGCGTGACCGGTTCCGTTCGGACTCTGGGGTCCGCACGACCGGCAGGAAGTACTTGGCCCGCCACTGCTGGGCGAGGAGGGGCGCGCTCTCTGCGGGGACTCCCTAACCCTTTAGAAGGAGCAACTGCGTCCAAATGGTTTGAAAGTGGGCCTTTAGTGTTTTCCAGGAGTAAGACGGTAGAACAAATAGACCAGTTTTGTTTGTAAAACTTGTTTCTTTGCCTCGAACTTGTGCTGTAAACTGACCAGGGCGCAGTGAGTACAGTTAGTACCGCACACGTTAGCACGCTCGACCTTAAGGATCTTTTTACAGAGACAATAAACTTGAAGGGTTTCACACCACGTCTTTGTACGCATGAGATCTCTCTCCGTGTAATTATCCTGGCGTGCGCAAATTACGTTGAAGAATAGCTGTCGAACCTGAGAGAGGAGTTGAAAGAGTGGAGGGTGGCGCTTGTAAGTGAAACATTAACCAGGAATGGCATTGCGTACCATCCTGTTTTAAAATAAACAGTGTATGGACAGACTGGAACAACAGCAAAGCAAAAAATTAAATTAAAAAAAAAAAAGCGATCATGGACTGTGGTTAAAGAGTCCTTTTAGATGGGTTCTTCTCCCTCCACAAATCCATTATCCAGTACTGCTGCCTATCCCATGTCTGAAAAGTGACAATGCTAAATGAGGGGAAGAGAAGGTGCAGGGGGAGCACCACGTAGACCTTCCCTTTTTCCCACCCGTCTGGGCAAAGGTCGATTTCACCTCAACCAATTTCTCCCATTCACACCCTCTTTGCCTTTCCATCCCTTCTCTCTCTTCTGATTTTACCAAATATTGTAGCTTGAAATGTTTCTTTGTAAAGGAAATGTGATTTATTATTTGAAAAGAGCCAGGAGTGGTGGCCCACATCTGTAATCCCATCTCCTCGGGAGGCTGAGGCAGGAGAACCGTTTGAGCCCAGAATTTGAGGCTGCCATCCGGGTGATCACGCCACTGCACAGCAGCCTGGGAGACAGAGCAATACCCTGTCTCAAAAAAAAAGTTATACTTGACTAATATAGTCAAGTGCATAGTTCAAAGAGTACAAAGATGTGTGTAGTGAAAATCTCCCTCCCAGCTCTGCCCCTATTCACCCAGTTGTTCTCCTTTCTCTCCTGAAGGTTTTAATGCCAACAAATCATCTGATACTCCTTCCCTCAAAATCTGAACCCTAACTTCCCTCCCATTGAGTGTGGGCCAGACTTAGTGACTCGCTTCAAATAACTAGAATGTGACCAACATGACTGACTGTGTCACTTCTGAGATTAGGCCATAAATGTCTTTGCAGCTTCTCTCTCTCCCCAGCTGCCCTCCACCCCAACCATCGTTCACTCTGGGGGAAGCCAGCTGCTATATCTTGAGGACATTAAGGCAACCTTAAGGATTGCTCCAGGAAGGGAGGAAGCAAAGCCTCCTGCCAGCAGACATGCGTGACCTATCTTGGAAGCAGGTCTGTCCCCAGTCAAGCCTTCCATTGACTGCAACCCTGGTCAACTTGTTGTCTAAAACCTAGTGAAAGAGGCCAGGCATAGTGGCTCATGCCTGTAATCCCAGCACTTTGGGAGGCCAAGATGGGTGGATCACGAGGGCAGGAGTTCAAGACCAGCCTGACCCACATGGTGAAACTCTGTCTCTACTAAAGATACAAAAATTAGTCGGGAGTGGTGGTGTGCTCCTGTAGTCCCAGCTACTTGGGAGGCTGAAGCAGGAGAATCACTTGAACCCGGGAGGCAGGGTTACCGTGAGCTGAGATCACGCCATTGCACTCCAGCTTGGGTGACAGAATGAGACTCCGTGTCCCAAAAAAAAAAAACAAAAAAAAACTAGCGAAAGATTCTGAGCCAGCGCCACCCAGTTAAGCTGTTCAAGTTCCTGACCTACAGATGTTGTCAGTTAATAAATATTTGTTGTTTTAAGCTGTTAAATTTGGAGTCATTTGTTATATAGTAATAGATACTAAAATACTTGCATGTATACATGTCACGCATGTGCATCACACATACATATATAGGTAACCACTGATAGTACTTTCATGGTTATCCTTCCAGAGATTTTTAACATATATTTAGGCAAATATGAAAATGTTTTTCTTATCTTTTCTATAAAAGCACATTATATATAGGTTTTTTCCCACCTGTGCTTGTGTTGGGAAGCATTTTTTTTCCCACTTAATTATGTTGGACAGCATTCTAGATTCATACTTAAAAGTGTCATCGGCTGGGCACAGTAGCTCATGCCTGTAATCCTAACACTTTGGGAGGCTGAGGCAGGCTGATCACCTGAGTTTAGGAGTTCAAGACCAGCCTGGCGGACATGGTGAAACCCCATCTCTACTAAAACTACAAAAAAATAGCTGGACGTGGTGGCGTGTGCCTGTAATCTCAGCTGCTGGGGTCAGGGAGCGGGGCTGAGACAGAAGAATCGCTTGAACCCTGGAGGCAGAGGTTGCAGTGAGCAGAGATGCACTGTACTCCACCCTGGGCAACAGAGTGAGACTTCATCTCAAAAAAAAAAGTCTCGGCAGGGCATGGTGGCTCACTCCTGTAATCCTAGCACTTTGGGAGGCCAAAGCAGGTGGATCACCTGAGGTCGGGAGTTCAAGACCAGCCTGGCCAACATGGTGAAATCCCGTCTCTACTAAAAATACAAAAATTAGCTGGGCATGGTGGTGCACGCCTGTAATCCCAGCTACCAGGAGGCCGAGCAAGGAGAATCGCTTGAACCTGGGAGGTGGAGGTTGCAGTGAGCCAAAATCACGTCACCGCACTCAAACCTGTGTGACAGGAGCAAGACTCCATCTAAAAAAAATTAGCGAGGCATGGAGTGAGACTCCATCTAAAAAAATTAGCCGGGAATGGTGGCGATGCCTGTAGTCCCAGCTATTCAGAAGGTTGATGCAGGAGGATCACTTGAGCACAGGAGTTCAAAGCTATAGTGAGCTCTGATTGTGCCACTGCTTTCCAGCCTGGGCAACAGAGTGATATCCTGTCTCTAAAAAAATATAAATAAATAAATAATGAAAAACATATAAAATTGCTCTATCATAACAAAGATCCCTCATGCTGCCCCTTTACAGTCATGGTGGTCCAGCTCCTCCCCCGACTCTATCTCCTACTCCTGGTAACCACTACTCTGTTCTCCATCTCTATAATTTTGTCATTTGAGAATGTTATATAAATGGAATTGTACATTATGAAGCCTTTTGAGATTTTCTTTTTTCACTCTGCATAATTTCCTTGAGATCCGTCCAAATTGCATATATCAATAGTTTGTTCCTTTTTATTGCTGAGTGGTAATTCATGGGATTCATGTACCATATTTGTTTACCACAGATCCACTGAAGGACTTTCAGGTTGTTTCTAATTTGGGGCTATCACAAATAAAACTTCTATGAATGTTCATGTACATGTTTTTATTTGTTTTTTTGTTTGTTTGTTTTTGAGACTGAGTCTTGCTCTGTCGCTCAGGCTGGAGTGCAGTGGCACAATCTTGGCTCACTGCAGCCTCCGCCTCCAGGGTTCAAGCAGTTCTCTTGCCTCAGCCTCCTGCGTAGCTAGAATTACAGTCATGTGCCACCAAGCCTGGCTAATTTTTATATTTTTTGTAGAGACAGATTTTCACCAGGCTGGTCTCGAACTCCTGACCTCAAGTGATCCACCTGCCTCAGCCTCCCAAAGAGCTGGGATTACAGGTGTGAGCCACCGCGTCTGGCCTATTTTTATTTGGATGTAGTTTTCATTTATCTGAGATAAACGCCCAGGAGTGCAATTGGATCATACTGTTAGTATATATATTTAGTTTGTTTGTTTGTTTGTTTGCTTGTTTCAAGAGACTGAGATCCAGTCTTTCCCTGGATCTAAAACAGAGGCAAAAAAAGGAAACTGGGAAACTGTTTAACTGAAATTACTCAATCTCAGGTGTCACATTGAGTTCGTCAAAAGAGAAACTCTCCTGGGTGCTATAGCTTGAAAGTTTGTCCCCTCCAAGTCTCATGTTGAAATTTGATCTCTGGCTGGGCACAGTGGCTCATGCCTATAAATCCCAGTACTTTGGGAGGCTCAGGTGGGCGGATCACTTGAGCCTAGGAGTTTGAGACTAGCTTGGGCAACATGGCGAAACCCTCCCTCTACCAAAAAATAGAACAATTAGCCAGGCTTGGTGGTATGTGACTGTAGTTCCAGCTACTTGGGAGGCTGAGGTGGGAGGATCACCCGAGCCCAGGGACGTCAAGGCTGCGGTGAGCCGTAATAATTCCACCGCAGTCCACTCCAGCCTGGACAACAGAGTGAGACCCTGTCTCAAAAAAAAAAAGAAAAGAAATTTGAAATTTGATCCTGAATTGGAGGTGGGGCCTAATGCCCTCTGTGGTAGGGCAGAGCAAGTGAGTTCTCACTCTGTTAGTGCCCATGAGACCTGGTTGTTAAAAACAGCCTGGCACCTCCCCCTCACTGGCTCTTGCCTCCTGTCTCACTACGTGATTTCTTCACCCACCAGCTCCCCTTTGCCTCCCACCATGAATGCAAGTAGCCTGAGGACCTCATCAGATGGTCTTCCTGCCAGCAGAATCAGTCATGAGCCAAATAAACCTTTTTCCTTTGCAAATTACCCAGTCTCAGGTGTTCCCTTACAGCAACACAAAATGAGCTAAGACGTTAAATGAGCCTGACATAACCAGGTGAGCCCTTAAAAAAGGCTCTAACCCTTCCCTAAGGAGGGATACTCGAGTCAGCTGAGACCCTCTCCAGATGGCCTTTAAGAAGAAAACAGCCATGTGTGAACTGCCTGTGGAGAAAGGTGGCCACTAAGAGCTGATGGTCTGGTCTTATAATCACAAGCATCGGAAATCTGCCGACTGCATGATGAGCTTGGAAGAGAACCCTTAGGTGAAGAGTGAAGACAGGAATGTAACCCCGCCAACACCTTGATTACAACCTCGTGAGACCCTAAGCGGAGAATCCAATAAGCTGCCCCAAACTCCTGTCCTGCGGAAGTGAGACCATAAACGTGAGTTGTTTTAAGCCCCTAAACGTATAGTAATTTTTTTTTTTTTTTTTTTTTGATTCTGAGTT